TAACAACTAACATTTCAAACGTGCGGATAATCAATAGTTATATGGGGCGAGACCTTATTGGCAGGTGTAGTCTCACTCAGTCTGTAGCATGCCACCTTTCTCCTTTCCAGCGTTCTTTAAAGTGTTCATTAAAGTTCTTTGAAGTGTTCATAAATACCATTTAATTGTGCGTGCCGGTTGATACATGAGTCGTCGGAGTGCATAGCCTCAATAAATTCTCGGCCCTATTTAAGATGGACAAAATCCGACGATGCGTGTTTTATCCCATACAAAGGTGTGTACCGTGTCGAGGCAATACATAGCCATTTTGATCGGATGGTCACGTCTCTTCACGGCCAATTGGTGTTCGTTGATGCATGCGGAGGCGGATCCTCCTGTTTGGCCACAATAAGCAGTATCACAAAGTCCGCATGGGATTTTGTAGATTACTTATTTCTCATTGAAGTACCCGACCCTATCCATAGGGTGTATAAGCTGGGTGCGTAAAGTAGCCATCGGTTTGTGCGCAAGCACCTTTCAACAAGTTTAGACACATTCCTTATATAAGGGGTGGGGGGATTCGCCATGAACTTGTTTTGGGCGCTTGTGTGGAACCATCTGCATCCTTTTTGTTGCGTTGCTTTTGCTTCATGCACCAGCGCATATAACAGGCAGTAAATAAGTGATTTCCTTTTTAGGACCGGCGAATTCGCGTACGACAATGTTTCCGATGTGAATTGTTCACGTAATCGGCAAAAGAACAATGGAATGACCTCCTTTAATCAGTCATGGAAGCATCATCCTTATACCTCTTTATGCGACGCTTAGATATTTATATGCGTCCTTTGCTGTACGTCGCAGTGTGAACTCGAACTAACACCATGCAAAATCCGAACAAGTGTTATTTTTAAAAACAATGCTACTCACAGTTTGTGAATACTATTTTTAAATGACCATTTTAAAGCCTATGCGTGCGCAAACGTATATGCCCGCAGGTAGGCAAACAGTAGCTGCTGCCAACTGCTTCTAATTACACAGCCAACTTCTATTCCGTGACCTAGTTCTTCAAAAAATCTCAAGGAAACACAAAACGCCAATATAATTAAAAATGCGAGTTCCAGTAAGCAGTTGGCGAGTAACATAATTGTTTCGTTGAGTAAAAAAGTGGAAGCGTCCA